AGGATTTAAAGACTCTTAAGTCTGGAGAACTTTGCGCACTGCTCACAGCGGAGCCAGGAAAGCTAGGCGCCTGGAAGGTGAGCCTTCAGGACTTTGGGGAGATAGAAAGACAGCACAGGGGGAAAGCAGTTGCCTTTTAGCTTCTAAGACCAGCTGGGACTCGGGGTAAAGTATCCCTTAAGGTAGAATTAACGTGTCAGGGAATCGAGAGGGGGCCAGGAGAAGAAGGGCTGGAGACTAACGCAGTTTGCTTTCATCTCCAACTAGGACAGGCAGCCCCCCACATTTTGGGTGGGCTGCGCCGCTTGGCCGGCGGACCTGCCTGGGTTGGAGAGGTGCGCACCGTCTGCGCCTCGCCCAGCACCTGGCCTCCCCGGCAGCCGCTGAGCGCTGGAGTTCCAGAGTCTGGAGGCACTACCTGAGAATCCCCTGCCCTTCTGTCCAGCTGAGTCCAGCTGCCCAGCGAAAGCATGAAAGGTAAGGAGGGTCTGGGAAGGGGCTTGGGGATGTTCCCAGGGACGGTTAACAGCGGTGGGGTCCGAGATACCTTGTTTTGTTTTTTGCTGCAAAACTGCTGTTGGATGGTGGTGTTTGAGGTTCTGATGATGTAGGGTCAGCTTGGTTTTCATCTGCGTCACTTCTTCACCTTGGTTAAAGAAAAGATGGTGGTCCTGGGAAACTTACGGTTTCCTATGGATGGTTTGTGACTTCTATTATGTTGTGAATAGGAGATTTTCCTCAAAAGTTTTGATCTCCAACTTATTGGGTATGAACATTTTGAAGCTGAAAGTGATGGTGTTTATGAACTAACAGACAGTGTCGGCATCGATGTGATGTGTCATGGTTGTTCTGGATATTGGGAATGAGTACAGTGGTGAATGGAGTTGCTTGTTAAGTCATGTTTTACAGAGAATTATTTTCCAACAATCATTTATGCATAGCAGCCATTCTTCACACCTATTAGGAAAAATATGTTGTGTGCATAGTTTCCAAAAGGGTACTCTTTTTTTTCTCTCTCTCTCTTCATGATGCTCTTTCCAAGCTGGGGTGAGAGACATCAAGAAAAGCTCTAACAAATTAATTCTTCCAAAAATATACATTTTGCTTGAAGTCTAAGAAAATCCAATCAGAGTCAAAAATCAACAATGCCATTCAATTTTAGCCTGTTACTCGGGCTTTATTTTGAAAATCTATTAAGTTCCATGTGAAAGCTTTAACCTGATATTATGTGGTATAGGGAAGGCAGGGGTCCACAATGGATCTTCAGGAGACCCTCACGATATCATGGCTGTTGTTAACCTGAACCAAGTCATCTATGCAAGGCCATTTCTTGAATTTATTGGGTGATTGAAAGTAAAATGTTCAAAATAAACTCAAGTGTGACCTTGTAGTTCCTGAAACTAATCTTTAAATAGCCGGATGTCCGAGTTTGAGTCTGTCTTAGGTGATAAGAGTAAGCAAATATTTTATGTACTTGGACCACTTTGGCTTACCAGTAAAGACAAAGTAGGACTGAATGCAATTAGTGGTGTGGAATTTATAAAGTATAATTTGAATAGCATTTTGCTAGCCTACTATGTGCTTGGCTAAAGAACTCAGCTTTAAAAATTCAAAATTGCTGGTTTTCTTCCCTGGCCTTATGAGAGGAGCCAAGGTGATTAGATTTGCAAAACATCTTTGCAGTTTCAGTGCTCTCGGGGGGCACTCATTCCTACTCAATATTTTAACATGGCTCAAAACATCCATTAGCCTGGATTTGCTTGAGTTCTATGCCTCTAATCTACTGTTAATTTTAGGAACTCTAGCTGCAAGAATAATACTGAGTCACATTGTAAAATGTTCTAAGATTATTTATTGACCACACCAGCATACTGAGCATAGTAAACATGAAACCCTTATTATAATTTACTCATAAGAACACATAAGTAATCTCAGAGTTGTATTGTTTTATGATAATTAGAGTTGAAGAAAATTAGCCTATATAAATTTGACTTCTGTTTCCCATTCTCCTGTGTTTTTTGGAACTCTAGATAATGAATAGTGATGGGTAGATAAAGACAGAATTTGCTGCAGTCGGTTACAGAAATGGAGGTATGACTTAGCATCGGAGTGCCGGGGCAACTCAGTTCTTGGTGAATGTCTCAGACTCTTTTCAATGTTGACATGAATGAAGATATTACCTATTGTTGGTTTTTATCAGAGGAAAAACAAAATGGAAATAGGAGACCGGTGATATTTTAAATGATAGCCTAAACCAGCGTTCTCAACTCAGGCTGCAAATTGGAATCAATGAAGAACTTAAAAAAAAAAAAAAAGGTGCCCAGACCCTACCTGATACCAATTAAATCAGAATATCTGAGGAAGGGGTCTATATTTTGATATTTTTGAAAATATGATTGTAATGTGCAGCCATGATTGGGAACCACTGGCTAATATGGTTCCTATGGGATTTGAATCTGTTAATGTCGGAGGGTCTTAGAGAAAATAAATGCAATATGTTCTATTGCCGGTCTAATCTTTTCTTCTTTAAAAAAAAAAAAATGTACAACTTGATTTCCCAATTAGAAGAAAGAGTTTTTTTTCTTTTCCTTTTTTTGGTAGATATTTAAACCATAATAGCTTCTGGGGGGAAATTTGTTTTTTTCTCCAGAAAACAATCTATTGAGTTTGAATCTTATTTGTCTAGCAAATGCTTTAGTAAATTAAGTCTACCTATAGGAGATATTGGAATTAATGCTTTATGAAACACAGAACCTGACCTCATTTTGCTAAGGTCATGGTATGTAATGTGTAAACATGCACCCTTTTGAAAGGGGAGGAGGAGAAAAACAATACTGTTCTCCTTGGCATACCAACTAACAGGTCCCGGGCGCTGCGCATGTTCTAGAACGTTCACATAAATTATTTATTTAAAGCTTACAATAGCTTTGTGAGGTACCAGCTATTATTCTGATTTATGTATGAGGAAATTAAGGACCCATTCGGTTAATAGATTTGCTCAAAGCCACAAACCAAGTACATTTAATATGTGTTTGAACCCAGTTCTTGTTCTAAGTTCAATACTGTAATAAAATATATATTTACATACATAATTTATATATTTAAATTTAAGGACAGGAAGAAAAAAAAAGCAGTTTTGGTTAAGAGCACAGATTCTGACATGGCTCTGCTTGGGTTTTATGCCCGGCTCCATCACTTTCTAAGAAGCTGTGGGATTTTGGGCAAATAATTTAACCTTTTCATGCCTTAATTTCCTTTGCAAAAAGAATTTGTCTAATGAGAATTATATGAGTTGATATTTGTGAGTCACTTTGGGTAGGTGCCTGGTGCATAGTAGGTTCTATGTAAGTGTTATATTTTTTTAAATGTCATTTATTCAGAAATATTTTTGATTGTTTATTATATGCCAAGAATTGCATCATGCCTGATGTTACATAAAAAAATAAGACATGTCCCAATCTTCAAGGATTTTGAGTCTAATAAAGAATGACCAATACATAAAAAGTCATTCCACTCAGGAATGATATTTTCTTCCATTTTAATTTTAATTAAAAGCATTATTTTGTGTGACAACTGTGTGCTCTTCAATACTAATATGATCTTACAGAGGTCCATAAAATGAGGATTATAAAACCAATGATAATAACATGTTGTCACAATGGCATTAACTTGTTTTCAATTCTATTATCAATACACACATAATAACATTCAAATATATTTCAGGCTTTACTTTATGGGTTTAGAAAACTGATAATATGAAAAGGTTTCAGGTCTTTAAAATGGCATTTTCAGGGTGAAGAATTTAGGGGAGGGGGGAGAGAATTGGTAGAAAATGTCATCGGAATCTATTCCCAAATGCAATTTTCTTGAATTGTTTTTCGAAAAGAGTATTGTCTAGAACATATTTTTGTAAAATAAAAAGCAAAATAATTTTAGGGTAAGAAGTGCCCATCAAGGAGTACAATTAAAGGTCTCTATTCAAGACTGGCTCGGCAAAACTCCATCTCATAGGAGCTGGCTACGCTTCTTCCCGGAGCTGAGCTGCTGCCCGGCATTGCATCAGACCTCCAGGGTACCTGTGACACCTGAGGTACAAGATTCTGTCTTTGTTCAAATGAAAGCCTCTCATTATTAAAAATAGCAGAGGAATTGCTATCCTTTGTCAAAGAATAACACAGACACTCTAAACCTATGGAGCTGTTTTTTTCAAAGAAATAAAGTACTTGGCTCGGTGAAATAGGTTCTGGTTTTGTAATCAATATTTAACCATTTTATTTCCTTAAAATTTCTGTTTGCAAATGGATGTCTCTCTTTTCTCTTAGCAAGTCTCAAGGCTACTCCCAATTTTTCCCAAGGATGCTGCATTTTTCTTCCTCATCCTCCCATTGCTACCCCTCAAAAAAAAATAGACTTAAATATTCTCCAAATATTCGGTCACCTTCAGACTCCCTGTGCTGCATTGAGTGTTACATAACATGGTCAGACTTGTTTACCAAGCTCCCATTTTGTTCACCATTCCTCGGTGATTCCTGGGGAACAGAAGACGAAAGCCACTCCTCAGCCTGGCATTAAAGATGCCTCATGATATAATTCCCATGTTATCTTTCTT